TAATCTAATTGTCACTTCAGATTTGCATGGTTTCAATTGTCGGTTCATGAATCAATGAATTTTTATTAATTAAATTCTCTATGACTTCTGTGTTTTAGTCCAGCTGGGTTTTATAATTTATAAAATTTTTAAGCAAAAATATCATTTGCTGTCGTTCAAGAAAGTGTTACCGTCCTCATTTTTTTTTTTTTTTAAAAATCCAAATCATGTATTATTAAAACATAAAGTATCAGTCAAATTTCTCAATATATATATTATCTAGACCCGAATTATTAATGATAGTTTTGTATTAAAACATAAAATTTCAATCAAAATTCTTATTTAAGAATGAGAATTTTGTATTTCCGTACAAAATTGTTAACAAGAATATTTATAATTGACATGCGAAAATGGAATATCGATATTGTGTTGCCAGATTACACAATTATGATAATATTATGTTTCTTTGTACAGTTATTGAACTTTTGTATGACTAAGGCAATATATGCACTTTCAATTCACCACAACTCAATACAGACAAGTCAATTCAATTGTCTTTCTTGCCTTTTCAATTCTAACATACATTTTTTTTGGTATATTCCGGCTCTCTTCAATTGCCTTTCTTATCCTCTTAATTCTAACAATAATAAAGAATGACGAAAATATGAAAATTGAAAGATGTTGGACAATACACTGCAAGGCACATTTTTGATTAATTTTCTAATATAAGAGGTATTTTTTTTTTTTTTATAAGGTCTTTTCATATAAAACTATTGATAGAATTATCGGTCCAAATTTTAAAAAATCAAGATATCTGTAAGAAAGAATGACTGTAATAATTCAAATTACAATATTAACTAATATACAATCGGATAATGTCATATGTTCGTTACAATGTACATCTTCACACCTTCATAACCAAATGTTGCATAATTTCTTGAAAGATTAATTGAACAATCTTTGAAAAAAAAAAAAAGCGATTTCAATCATATACAAACATTGAATCATATCATTTGCGTAAGGAATGAAATTGATCAATACCACAATTTGCTTTTGGCTTGCAAAACTAGGCCAAATAAATCAAAGCGGTTTTTTCTAAAATATTTTCAAATATGAATTATTTGAAATTAATATTAGAAAATACCAGCTACCTAGCTAGATGAAGTATTCAAGTGAATAATCAAAGTTTACGCTTCAAAACGACCAATATAATATAATTGAGTATACAAAATTTAATATAAAAAGAAAGAAGTTTGTAGAAAAGACCTGTGTTTAGAATTAATATCACTAAACTTGTTTTATTGCTTAATAATTTTAGATTAGACATGAGCTAATACTTTGTCCATGCAGTGATTGGTATCTCTCAACTGTTTTATATTTCATTAATTAATAGTTACATAATTTGTCTTCTGACATTGATAGTTGAATGAGAGCTCAAATCGGTTCCCTACTACATGGGGTGTTGAATACTCATCTTATTAGTTCATCTTGGTTGCTGACGTTTGCATTTCTTTTGAATACGTAACTTGTTTAATAAAAAAAATCAGTTAATTTTTTTTTTTTTACATAAAAAACGTAAATATCTACTTTTTAGTATTAATTATCGTAAATTTTCGTATTTGATGTCTATAAGAAAGAATTTCCATATTTGATATCACGACATTTTAGAAACTGATTAAAAGAGAGTTTGTGGACGAAAGATGTAGTTATTATAATGTAAACATCGCATTTGCAACATAAAATTTTGTTTTCTATTTTACATTTAACTCTTTAATTTCAAAAACAATTTTTGAATATAATATATTTAGGTAAGATCCTATCTTAAATATTTGAAACCTGCTTGATGTTTTATTGCACCAATACGAGTGTACGATAATGTAAAAAATTAAATAAATAAATATGAAATTGAGAAAGTACTTGTATAAAAATATAAGAAAAAAGATCTTTTGTAGATCTCAAGTTTCTACATTTCCCATGTGTAGTTATATACTTATATACGTTGTCGGTTTTGATAAATTAGTTCAGAAGAAATTTTCAGATCATTTTCATGCACGAAAAGAAATATATTATTATTAATCATATTATTTTATTTCTCATATGAATTACCTGTTATATGAGCCTGTCAAATCATCAAATGAATTATGCAATAGATATAATAAAATATGTATTTAATTTGATAATTTAATGCACGGGATGACCCATTTCGACAAGAATTTTGAGAGGAAAACAACAGCAAAATGTCGGTATTATTTTAATATTTCATAGAATAAAGTAAACACTACTTAAAATAATATTTTTCTATTATTTTAGTTTATGTCTCTATAAAACAAATCAGGTTATTTTGATTAAAATGTTTTAAAATTTAATCAGAAAATTTAAATCCATATTATTTTAATTTTTTATTTATTTAATATGAATAATTGATCTAATTTCTAATGCTAAAATATTATATATTAGTCTAAAACATTTGTATAGAAGGTATATAGTTTGATTTTTTATTTATTTAAAAAAAAAAAAAACCAACCAACATGAAAAAATTGAATAAAGATAAATTGACATTCACTTCTCACAATTTTCTCTCATAAATAAGGTATAGCTCAAATTGTCAAACAACTCATTAAGAGTTGACTAATTGCAGTTGACATGCTGTATTTGTGGAAAAAATTAATGAGAAGGATTTGTAGTGTAGTATTGCTCATGAAAATTACATCCAGTAAAATAAGCAAAACAAAAGCTAAGATAGAAGATAATATAATCATATAACGATTATATATACTCATTTACATGAATGAGAACAAAATATTTTTTTACTTAATTATTATTAAAAAAAAAAAATTCTAGACTCGGCGGTGTTATAAGAAGAAAAATGATTATGAAGAAAAAATGCTTTTTTTTTTTTTTTTTTTTTTATTAGTTTGTTCACATCAATTCTCAGACAACTTTATCATGATATCTAGATTTTATAATAAGTTTTTTTTTTTGTAATTCCGGTCTTCTTTTTCTATCGTTTAAATTAAAATAATCTTCAATATTTTTTTGGATCTCTTTATTTATAAACTTATTGAAAATCCTATAAGGATAATTCTTATTTGATTTAGTAAAATTTCACTTGTGCGTGAGAAAGACAAACTAATATTTCTCGTTATGGTTAAATAGGTACATATGCATTGGTGTTAACAAAACGAGTTCTGCTAGGATCCCATATCAGAATCTCATTACCATCAAGTGTGATACTTAAGTCTAAAAGCTTTCCAACCTATCAAGCCCAGTCTTTTGGGTTGAACTCTCACTTGGGCTTGAGTTTTAACATTAGTGCTTTCATTGAGAATTGAGTTATGGAAAGAGCTACCTACAACCTAGATTAAGGTGCAATGTGCTCTTCTTGGGATGAGGTGTTGCATTGAATAAATGATGAGTGAGTACAGCCCGTCGAGTCAATGTCGATCGGTCTTTTGGGCTGGACTTGAGTTCTAACAAGTTTTATGTAAACTTTTTACGGGCTATGTAAAATCATAGAAAGACAACTCCTAATGGTTAGAGCATCTTGTAAACTTTTAGGAAATGTTTGGTTGGGGGTTATCCCCTATTACTAAGGTAATGTCATATTATATTACTTAGATTATTATGTTTGGTTATCAAGTAATATAAGATTTCGGTAATATTTCAAAACCAATAGTAATTACTATTGGTTATATAGGTGGCAATCTAAATTTCTCCATTTTTTTTAAGTATTTGAAGATTACTTGGTAATCTTAATTTTGTTACAATTTTACCCTTAAATATTAAAATTTTTGGACAATAATGCCCTCATTTTGAAATTAATTTACATGAACTTGTCATTACAATTTTACTCTTAATTAATTAAGTTCTTGGACACTAATGCCTTTATATTTAAAAAAAATTGTAGGCTACCCAAGACCACCACCACCAGCCAACCACCCACATTCAGCCAGCCATGTGTCTTTTCGGTGACCAATGGTGGTGGCTGGCGGCCAGTAGTGGCTTGCGGTAAGTAGGGGTTATTTTGTTATAAATTAAACTTTTATGTGACTGGAGTGTTTTAGCAAAATTTCAAATATAAAGGGTTAAAAGAATGATTCAAAAATAATAATAAAAATAATATTTAAAATGGATGGTTATTTATTAATCTAAATAACATACTAGAAGTGGGAATTTGGGACCGAGCCTAAAATACCTACCCAAAAAACCAGTCCTAGGAGGCCTGGTCCCAAACCCAACCAGGCCCATGGAGGAGGGCCCAGCCCATTCAGTCCCTCCTCCTTTTCCCTTTTTCCAAAAACCCCCTGGACAATATTCAAAAACTCTCGTAAATTTTGAAATTGACAAAAAATTGAGGGCTAAATTGTGTGAATATTATATTTATGTTAAAATTAATTAATTAAATTATCTCTTTAAAGTTTAAATTTAAAACACCCTATATTTATAAATAATTATTAATTATAATTAACCATTAATTAATTTTTAAACTTTACTAATCTCCACCTAAAAATTACATAAACCCCTTAACCTGGGCCGATTGGGACAAGTCCTTGCTTAGGTCTACAACATACCCACAAATTTATTTCTTCTACCCAAACATATTAATATAACATACTCACCAATTTGTTTAAATTTAACGAAACATATTTCTTTAAACATTCCTAATAATACAAGATTTCCTGAACCAAACGCATCCTAAAGAAAGTCTTCACACGTGTCTAAAACCCATTGTCATGTTTCCCATCACAATTGAATAGGTACATCCATATTTCTTCTCATAATTGTACAGACACATACAAACGTTTGAAGGAAGAGTTTTGACTAAACTTATTGATGATCTTAATGAAAATCATATAAAGCTAAAATCTTTATTTGATAAAGCATCTTGTACACTTAAAAAAATGTCTCAACTCGTGCCTATAAATTTTAACTCAGTACTTACCAGAGACACAAACAAAAGCTTTTCATTATGATTAAACAGGTTCACATACATTATTCTTAAGACAAAGTTTTATGTGATTTAAGGCGATGGATAAAAACGAAACTATTAGAAATAGTGTTAGACATGGGTGGTGACAAAAAACTATAACACAAACTAAAAGCCATGCTAAATCTAAAACCCAGAATAAAGCACCCAATTTCCCATTTCATCAAACACTTCAATTCTTGGGCTTTAGCCATAAAAAATGCTCACTCACCCAATGAAGCCTTGCACTTCTACTCTCAAATGCACCGCCAATCACCTTCCTTTGATAGCTTTTCAATCCTCTTCACGCTCAAATCCTGTACCCATTTGCGAAACCTCAACGTTATTCACCACCTCCACTCACATGTCCTCAAACTGGGCTTCATTTCCCACGTATATGTAGCCACATCTCTCCTCCATGCGTACGTTGTCACGTCGTTTGGGCTTGGTTGTAAACTGTTCGATGAAATGCCTGAGAAAAATGTCGTCACTTGGAATACGATGATAACTGGGTATTCTAAGTCTGGAAATGTTGACAAAGCGAGGGGCGTGTTTGATCTAATGCCATTAAGAGCTGTTTCCTCGTGGTCTGCGATGATTGCTGCGTATATGAACGATGGGGATTACGATCGCGGGTTGGCGCTTTTTCGTGAAATGATGAGGAACGAGGGGCTAAAACCGGACCAAGTGACTGTGGGGTCGGTTCTTTCGGGGTGTGCTCACTTGGGTTCTGTTGGTTTGTTGATTGGGAAATCGGTTCATGTAGTTACAGTTAAAAATGGGTGGGAGTTGAATGTGGATATTGGGACAATTTTGGTTGATATGTATGCAAAATGTGGTTTCTTGAATTATGCTATTATGGTTTTTGAGTTGATGAAGGAAAGGAATGTGATGGCGTGGACTGCATTGATTTGTGGGTCGGCACAACATGGTTTTGGCAAAGAAGCACTGTGTTTGTTTGAGATGATGCAAAAAAATGGTGTGAGACCTAATGAGATGACTTTCACAGGGATTCTTAGCGCATGTGCGCATACCGGATTAGTAGAGGATGGGCGCAAACATTTCAAGATAATTGAAGAGTATGGATTGGAGCCTAGAATTCAGCATTATGGATGCATGGTTGACTTGTTTGGTAAGGCAGGGTTGTTGGAGGAAGCGTATGAGGTTATTAGGACCATGAGATTCGAGCCCAATGTGGTTATCTGGGGCTCGTTCCTGGCAGCTTGTAAGGAGCATAAGAAGTTTGATATGGCTGAGAGAGTGATTGAACAGGTGTTAAGAATGGTAAAGCCAGAGAATGATGGAGGGGTTTTTACACTTATTTGTGATTTATATGTGTTGAATGAGAAGTGGGATGATGCAGAGAGGGTGAGAAAATTAATGCTTAATAAAAATGTAAGGAAAGCCAGGGGATCTAGTTTCACAAAAGTGGGATTATAGATGATTTCATTTCTAGCTGTCCTAAGGCTAACATCAATCTTCTTGTGAGAGTTATAAAAACTGCTCTCTCTACAGGTTGAACTTCTAATACGTTTAAGCGGTGCTCTCGTTTGCAAGCAACAATCTTGGTTCATGAATATCTAATGTGCTCAAGTTATTTTCTTTGACACTATTCTTTATTTCAAAGAACAATAAAAGATGAAAGAGAGATACATTGATGGAAGAGGAAGAATTACATTGATGGAAGAGGAAGAATTACAGAGTTCATTTACTCTAGAGTCTGTAAGGCTTTGAAATATCTTATTTTTTGAAGAAAATAAGGAATACACAGGGATTATTTTCATACCAACTTGAAGCTAATTGGATGACACATTGCATAGTTGCAATAGCTATATTTTGAATAAAACTGCCATTGGCTGGGCAGATGACTAACTCAGCTGCATAAAATTCAGACTCTTAATCTGTTTCCTTTCTTTCAATCAAAATTGATTCGATTTGAGAACTTGAAATTGATGTAATCATAAAACTTTTGTGTTCCATGATTTAAGGTAATCACTTCTCCCTTGATCTTGGGAAGAAAATGATGGTTCTTTGTCTCTTGGTGTCAATCCTTCCATTTGGATTCAAAATCTTACTGTGCTAATCACTTCACCATAGATGTGGCGTTAATGAAAAGCAGAGGATTGTATCTAATTTGAAGCAACTTTGTTGCAAATATTTCTGTTTCAAATTCGTACTCAACCTATGATATGAAAATGATTTATCTTTTGCATTTATAGAACTGTCTGCACTCACTTTTGCAAGTGTTAGCAGATGTTACTTAAAAGAAGGGAAACAAAGAAAAAAGGTTTTAAAAAATAGTAAAAGCACTTTATATGGGCTCATGGTCCAGGGCCCAGCCCAAATTGGACTGGATATTTCTCATAAATTGTTGAGTGCTACTACTCTTATAGCAGAGGTCTATCCGGTTTTGTACAATTCAAATTCTGGTTCTGGTTGGTGGAGATGAATTCATGGGCATTTTCAGCTGGGAACTGCTCTTCCACAAAACTTACCACACCCACCACAAGACTCCTCGTTAAAGGCCTTGATAGATCAGAAGCATCAACCATCAAATTCTCAAGCCAAGACTCTTCTTCTCAAAGGCTGCAGCTAAAGGAGAACCAAACTTTGTTAAAGAGAAGAGAAGCCATTGGTTTTGGCTTATGTTTTGGACTCATTGATCTTGTCTTGCAACCACAACCTACTTCAGCAGCTGAAGGAGCTCCACCATGCGAGCTAACTGTAGCCCCTTCAGGCCTTGCTTTTTGTGATAAAGTAGTGGGGTCTGGCCCTGAGCCTGTCAAAGGACAACTCATTAAGGTGATATTCAAGAGCTTTTACTTTCATCTTTTGAGTTAATGCAAAAGAATAGTAGGAAAACGGAAGATTATATCTTGAATAATGTCCGCATTCATCTATATTATTTGCTAGGCATCCTTGCAAGTTTATGAATGTTTAGTAGACTTGAGATTCAGGAATGGAATCTCATTTTGGTCATTTAGTATTTTTAAAGCTTAGTTCAGGTCATTGTGTACTAGAAAATGCTTATTGTACCCCAAACTTTTGTTGTTTTTTGAGAGGTTTAGGGTTTATTGACTGAAGAAGTGAATATGAACAGGCTCATTATGTTGGGAAATTGGAGAATGGGACGGTCTTCGATAGCAGTTACAATCGGGGAAAGCCTCTAACTTTTCGCATTGGTGCTGGCGAGGTCTGTTCATGTTTAACACTCAGTTAATTCATGTGCTTGCTTGTTTTATAATACAATAGGAAATTTTCTTGATTTGATAACACGAGGGTTTGAATAATCATGAATTTGTATTTTCTCTATGGTGATTGTGAAGAGATTCAACTAAAAATTACAAGTTAGACTTAATTCATCGTCCTCACTTGGAATCACTTTTTCTTTTTCAAGAGGTGCTCATTCCCAATTTCATTTGGCTAGACAGGGCAGGCTTGATGAAAATAACCTTTTTGCATAAGAGGAACTTGATTTGTAAACAATATTTCTGTCTGGCCTGTAATCCTGAAAGGAAGTCATGCTTCTGATAATCAACTTAGGAAACAAATTAACTCGGCAAACATAAAAGGATATCCTTACTCCAACAAGTTAACTCTGTAGAGGGTGCTGCTCTTCATGAATGATAGGTTCAGGTTAAAATGTTATATATTGACAACTTAGCTGAAGACTTGTCTCTGTCGAATTTGAATAGGTCATTAAAGGATGGGATCAAGGCATTCTAGGTGGTGACGGAATTCCTCCCATGCTTGCTGGTATGAATTCCCAACAATTCAGTTTTACTTTGTATAGCAATTCAATCATGAACTGTTCTAATTAATTTGTTCAACTTAATTAGGAGGAAAACGATCGTTAAAGATTCCTCCAGAACTTGCATATGGCATGAGAGGAGCTGGCTGTAGAGGAGGTAATTAAGCATTCATTTCAGTTTTGTAGTGTTTTGTATATTAAGCCCTTAGGATATGCCTCATCTGGTTACCTTTCTGCAGGTTCTTGCATAATCCCTCCAGATTCAGTTCTTCTGTTCGACGTAGAGTTCATCGGCAAAGCATCATGAGAACTGAGAAAAATCTGGGATGTTTGAAAGACGCGATTTTTCCAATCAAATTATCAGTGACGAAAGTGAATGGTCTTTTGTACTTGAATGTTTTAAACATATAAGAGATGAGTCGACAATGTATTTAAAGACTCAAAAGAGCAAGGTGTATGTAAGAATCAATCATGTTCTAGTTTAGTGCTTCTCAAAATTGTACAAAGGAGCTATGATCAAGCTTAAAAGGTGTATTGAGATAATTTAAAATGCCGCAGTCTTGATGTCATGATACGATGCCTACTATGAGGAATAGAGAACATCATTGTCGATTTAGAATTTTAGAGCCTTCCCTATATTGGTTGTGTATGTAACCAATCAATCATGATGTGTATGCAAGGATGGACCTAGAATTTAACATTGGAGGGAGCAAATATAATACCAAACATGGTGGCCGTGAGATGCTAGAAAAAGGGGATGAAACTTAGAAGAAATACCCTGAAAGAGAAGGGAAGGATGTGTCCGGTGGAAAAAAAGTTGTTCTACTTTTAGAGAGGGGGGTTAATTTGCAAAATAAATGACACAAAACCAGAAAAAGTGAGATAATTACAATGAGAAACAAAGAAAAAGAAATTGAGTGGGGTCAATAGCCCCTACTCGCCTCTTCTTAGGTTCGTTTTTGCACCCAAGGACGTCGAACACACTAATGTGATATCAGATTCGCTAGTTGTACATATAGTTGTTCAAACTTGAAAGGAAGTTTTTTTTTCATACATCAATCATCTCTATCTATCAGTTTTCTTAAGGGCGAGGTTGCCTTGTAAATTATTATTACCCCTTACAATGAGGATGTTTTTGATAAAATGAACAACATGCCAGGTTTTGTGTTCTTTATACCAATTTTCAAGGTTTTGTTTAAATTGCCTTCAAATATCCAAAAGCACCCAACCGACACAACCGTCTTCTCAATATAAAGTCCAACATCAGAACCCTAATTAAAACAAAACCCCAACACAACCCGAGCTCAAAAATGGCGAAGATGAGATCGAAGAAAGAGAAGAGGCTGAGAGCTAGTCGGAGCTAGTGACGCCTCTGTATGACAAAAAGACGAAGCTAAACTCGCTGCTCAAGAAGCTGCCCTTGCGGCTCCTAGCTCCCTGTTCGCATTCCACAAAATAACAACACTTCTATGGATGTAACCACAACCAAAGCCACTGTTTCAGCAAATAACGATATGGGTAAGCTTATTTTCTCTATTTTGTGTATTGGTGTAATACCCATTTGAATTTATGGCTTAATACTCAGCATTCGGTTGGTGGATTTTGTTTCTAGATTAGCTGGGCTATGTGACCGTACAGTTTTTATTTTCCTTTCAATTTTGTTATTTTGGAGTGTTGGATGCTTTTTGGGCGACCCACTTCCTAAATTTTGATGTTTGTGTTAGCTGAACTTTTAAGTTTTATAATTGAATTAAAGACTTTATTTTTTTGTTCAATTTTCGGCTAATTATTGAGCAAATTTGTTTTGTTTATGTTTGCTCCGTGAATACTTGATTTTAGCTGTAAGTCTATTCGTTTTCACTCCCAAATATAAGGATTTTAAGCTTGATCGAACTAAAAAATATTGGCTATTTGATTTCTAGGTATTGAGATTTTATGTATTTTCTATTAATTATGGTTTTCTTGTTCTGGTTTGGGCTTGGGGCAGGATTATGCTTAGCTTCATTTGGTCGATGTGCAATTTATTTATTTTTTAAGGAATTCACATTGCTTAGAAGATCGGTGGCGATGCTATAGTTACTATTCCATGCTTGTTTTTTCTAGTATCCAACATCATTAACGATTCAGAGCTTTGAGGCTGGAAAGTAGGAAAGGAAAGACATTAATCTGTGCTGTTTGAAGTTATCTCTTTGTAGGTTATGGAAGATCATGCCTATTATTGCATACTCTCTTAGCTAATTTGGCTGGATACTTTTTGGCCTTAATTTTGAATAATCAGACTTTATACCTATAGATTGGAATGAAGTTTACTGGCCTGAAGTTCATAGAGTTCAGTTCACTACCATTAATGAGGCTGATGTTTCCCACCTACTGAAGGAAGCATTCTCGTGTTTAATAAGAAGATTTAATAAAAGACTTTCAGTTAATGTTTTAAGATGTGGAGCAGCTTGTTCACCACCTTCTCATAATCTATTATAGAAACGAGCCCAAACCCTTCCGGTTGGTGGAATGAGTCACTTTTCTCTGTTTTAGAAACTATAGTATATCTTGTTGATCCCTATTCATTCAGAATATTTGTCAGTGTGGAAGTTTTGGCTGTTGGTTGAGGTTGGTTTGGATTAGTGCTAGATCTAGATGAACTTTTTTCATGATAAATATCGGACATGTTTGAGATCATCTAAAATCTTCCTAAAAAAGAAAAAGATGGTTTATTTTTTATTTAAATTTCTATTTTCAATGATACTTGGCTTAGTTATGTCGTAGACTTCTTTAGCTTGTCATTTGTGTACTGGAAATTGCATTTGATGATTGATTTTTATTTAAATTCAAACTGGACAACCATTCTGTACTATTCTCCAGTCATAATTCCTGTTAGCATTTTATAGTTTATAGTACTTAATATTGTCATTTTGCAGAGTGGGATGGCTGATGGCAATCAAAGCAAGAGTCCTTGAGCCTGTTGGAGGAGTAGGAAAGAAGTCCAAAGCGAAGTTCAAACTTGGGAAAAACAAGCGCCGTGGTAAGGGCTGGAAAACGTGATTTTTAGTTTTATAAATAGATAATGAGTTTATCAACTCATCTCTCTTTTTGTAGTGAGGCAATTTACCTTTTTTTTTTTTTTTTTTTTTTTTTTATGGTTTTTTCACATTGTGATCTAGCATGATGTCTTAGTCAAGTGTTGTGAGCGAATATATGCCATGAAATATTGTAGCACAAGCGCAACTTGATACAAAAGGCTGGTGTACTATTTGAGCTATTTAGTTTCACCATTCTGTTTGGAAAGTAGAATTAATCTTAGCAGAAACAATTATTTACGGGCCCTCTATCTCTGTTTGTCTCCAACTTTCGTTTGACCTCTGCAAATTGAGTAAATACATATTCCCACATGAGGATTAGCGGAATCTTAAGTTGATACTCTTGATTGCATTTATTTTAGATTCTTGCTATTAAATTAATACCATTAGTGACGGCTGGAAGTGGTTGGAAACGGTGAGTGAGGTTGAGAAGTGAAGGTCTGAGTTTTGTAAAGGAGGTTGTGGGGAGTCCAATGATGATTTTGAAGGGATTTTGGACTTTAAAATAGGTCGAAAAAAGCCAAAAATTGTGGGTTTGGATGTTTCTAATGTGAGCTTTTTTTTGCTAACATGAGCCTATTTTTGGTCGAAGAAAGCGTTAATGCATTTTAGCGTGTTAACATGCGTTACGATATAGTATAAAATTGAGAATTTGTGAAAATAAAAGAAACGGTGTTAGTTTGTGAGAATTTGAAATAAATGCAACAAGGCCTACTGACTTTGATTTTTGCTAAACTTTTGAGTGGGAATATGTGGTTTGCTTTTGCAAATTTTAGGATAGAGATTCTCATGTGATATGAACTTCACGAGAGCAAATTTTAGGATCGGGATTCTCAGTTCTCACGTGATATGATATGAACTTTACGGGAGCAGAATATGTCCGTCAATAATTCATGCACATATTCATTGTTTTTGATGGAAAGACTTTTGCATATTTAAAAAGGGAGAGGTTACATGTCTCCAATTGACGCAATTTCATTTTCTTGTATACCCAAACCATCGTTTAGAAATTATATTTAATTGGAAGAATCTATAAGTATTGAGGAGACCGATTTGTGAAGATCTACAAGAAAATTGGTATGGTGGGAGGTTAGTGTTAAAATTAAACTTGCTTCAGCAATATTCCATGAGTGTTTATAACATGTGTATAATCGATAAACTGTGAATATATACATGTGACGATGGAATTGAAATTTTAACAATTGCTCCATGTGGCTGCAAGCTTTGGTAGCCAAAAGGGACTGTGCAGTTACAAGCAAACAAAGTAATCTCATTCTATTCAATCATAACATTTTCGTTCCATTTATAATACTTTCATATCTATTTCTAATTCACAAACCAAACATGGCCTAGGAGTTTAAGAGCCAGATCTATTCGATTCAATGCACTTGCTAGTTCAACTTCAAATTCAGCTACCAATCCATCATCAACCTCAAACCGTGAACGCCCGCCATTGTCAAGTTCCGACTACATGGACATGGTTGAACCGTGCAAATGTGCAAAATAAAATGATGTTGATAGCATCTTGAACTTCTTTCATGACAGAAATGAAACTCTCCAGGAGCTAGCTCCCCGCTTCATTGAGGGATCCCGCTGTTGGCCCATTGAACAGTACATTGCTCCATGTGGCTGCGAACTTTGGCGGCACAGAGACTGTGCGGTTGACTGCTAATGGCCTGATGCTCGGTACATCAATTCTGGAAATGATAAACGCAAAAGGAGATACCGCCCTGCACGTTGCTGCGAAAGCTTGACATTTTCCACTGCAACAAGTCTCGCCTTGAGTGATTCAACTGATGATGATGAGGGTATAACACTGAGTGAGGCCGAGTTTGATAGATCATGGCTACTTGGGCTAACGAATTAAGAAGGAAGCCACTGCTTCGCACGAGGCCCTGAAAAATAGTCACATGGAATTGGCCAATCTTTTAATTGGATTAGATCCTAAAGTTTCCTTCTGGTCAAACATGAGTCACCTTTGTATCTGGCTGCCGAAGCCGGATCCCCAACGTGCGTCACAAGTATGTTAAATCAAAATGAGATTATCAAAAAGAATCGAGATGGAATTTTTAAAAGGAAAATCACCTATTCATGCTGCTGCTAGTAGAAGCACGCAGACAGGTAAGGTAATTCTAAAGCTATGTTGATTACTTTCATTTTTCTATAGAACATTTTCACAATATTTAATTTCTGTTACTTTAATATATAATTTTAGTATCCAAATACTCTTACACACTTCAAATCCTTAAATCAATTGAGTTTCTTTAGGCCAAAACAATACCCATTAAAATTTCAATCACAGATACTGACGAAATATAGAATGCACCTTTATTATTACAGCTTTCCCTTCATCTTTACTAGCTGAGATTAAGAAATGATTATCGCTTCAATCAATCACCTTAGTTCATGTAATTGATTGAATAATTACAAGGATTTGTATTTATTATTTTCCTATTTTATATTTACAAAAATTGTATAAATTGGCCATCGTACAGGCTTACAATACAATGTAGAAAATACACAAAAATTCTTTTCTCTTGCTTGC